GGGAAAAAATGGTATTTTGGGAGGGATAAATGGGGATTTTTGGGAAAAAATGGGATTTTGTGAAAAAAATGGGGTTTTTAGGGGAAAAAATGGGGTTTTAGGGAAAAAAAAGGATTTTTTTTTGTAAAGAAATGGGTTTTTTTGGGATATAAAATGGGGATTTTGGGGGTGAACTTCCCCGTCATCGGCTCCGCCCTGGGGTCCCCCCAAAACCTGGGCTACGGCCCCGGCAGCAGCCCCCAGGTGAGAGAACAGCGGGGATTTGGGGGGAAAATGGAGATTTTGGGAAAAAATGGGGATTTTAGGGGTTTTGGGGAAAAAAATGGGGATTTTGGGGGAAAAAAATGGGATTTTTAGGGGAAAAAATGGGATTTTTTGATAATAAAATGGGATTTTTAGGGGAAAAAATGGGATTTTGGGAGGGAAAAATGGGGATTTTGGGGAAAAAAATGGGGTTTTGGGGGTTTTGGGGAAAAAAGTGGGGATTTTGGGGAAAAAAATGGGGATTTTGGGGGAAAAAATGGAATTTTTAGGGGAAAAAATGGGGATTTTGGGGGGAAAAATGGGAATTTTTGGGAAAAAAATGGGGATTTTGAGAAAAAATGGGGATTTTGGGGGTTTTGGGGAAAAAAATGGGGATTTTGGGGAAAAAAATGGGATTTTTAGGGGAAAAAATGGGATTTTTAGGGGAAAAAATGGGATTTTTTGATAATAAAAAGGGATTTTTAGGGGAAAAAATGGGTTTTTTTGATAATAAAATGGGATTTTTAGGGGAAAAAAAGGCATTTTTTGATAATAAAATGGGATTTTTAGGGGAAAAAATGGGATTTTTTGATAATAAAATGGGATTTTGGGGGAAAAAATGGGATTTTTATGGGAAAAAATGGAATTTTTAGGGGAAAAAATGGGATTTTGGGGAAAAAAATGGGGATTTTGGGAAAAAAAAATGGGGATTTTGGGGAAAAAAATGGGGTTTTGGGGGTTTTGGGGAAAAAAGTGGGGATTTTGGGGAAAAAAATGGGGATTTTGGGGAAAAAATGGGTTTTTTGGGGAGAGAAAAATGGGATTTGGGGAAAAAAAATGGGATTTTTAGGTGAAAAAATGGGATTTTGGGAGGGAAAAATGGGATTTTTGGGAAAAAATGGTATTTTGGGAGGGATAAATGGGGATTTTTGGGAAAAAATGGGATTTTGTGAAAAAAATGGGGTTTTTAGGGGAAAAAATGGGGTTTTAGGGAAAAAAAAGGATTTTTTTTTGTAAAGAAATGGGTTTTTTTGGGATATAAAATGGGGATTTTGGGGGTGAAATGATCGGCTCCGCCCTGGGGTCCCCCCAAAACCTGGGCTACGGCCCCGGCAGCAGCCCCCAGGTGAGAGAACAACGGGGATTTGGGGGGAAAAATGGGGATTTGGGGAAAAAAATGGGGATTTTGGGGGTTTTGGGGAAAAAAATGGGGATTTTGGGGAAAAAAAATGGGATTTTTAGGGGAAAAAATGGGATTTTTTGATAATAAAATGGGATTTTTAGGGGAAAAAATGAAGGTTTTGGGAGGGAAAAATGGGGATTTTTGATAATAAAAAGGGGTTTTAGGGGAAAAAATGGGATTTTGGGGGAAAAAAGGGGATTTTGGGAAAAAAATGGGGATTTTAGGGGAAAAAATGGGATTTTGGGGGGAAAAATGGGGATTTTGGGGAAAAATGGGAATTTTGGGGGTGAAATGATCGGCTCCGCCCTGGGGTCCCCCCAAAACCTGGGCTACGGCCCCGGCAGCAGCCCCCAGGTGAGAGAACAACGGGAATTTGGGGGGAAAAGTGGGGATTTTGGGAAAAAAATGGGGATTTTAGGGGTTTTGGGGAAAAAAATGGGGATTTTGGGGAAAAAAAATGGGATTTTTAGGGGAAAAAATAGGATTTTGGGAGGGAAAAAATGGGATTTTTAGGGGAAAAAATGGGATTTTTTGGGTAAAAAATGCGATTTTGGGTGGGAAAAACGGGGATTTTGGGGGAAAAAATGGGAATTTTTGGAAAAAAATGGGGATTTTGGGGGAAAAAATGGGAATTTTAGAGGAAAAAATGGAATTTTTAGGGGAAAAAATGGGATTCTGGGAGGGATAAATGGGGATTTTTGGGAAAAAATGGGATTTTTAGGGGGAAAATAGGGTTTTTAGGGGAAACAATGTGGTTTTAGGGAAAAAAAAGGATTTTTTTTGTAAAGAAATGGGTTTTTTTGGGGTATAAAATGGGATTTTTGGGGGTGAAATGATCGGCTCCGCCCTGGGGTCCCCCCAAAACCTGGGCTACGGCCCCGGCAGCAGCCCCCAGGTGAGAGAACAACGGGAATTTGGGGGGAAAAATGGGGATTTTGGGAAAAAATGGGGATTTTGGGGGAAAAAAATGGGATTTTTAGGGGAAAAAATGGGAATTTTTGATAATAAAATGGGATTTTGGGGGAAAAAATGGGATTTTTATGGGAAAAAATGGAATTTTTAGGGGAAAAAAATGGGATTTTGGGGAAAAAAATGGGGATTTTGGGGAAAATAAATGGGGATTTTGGGGGAAAAATTGGGGTTTTTAGGGGAAAAAATGGGATTTTGGGAGGGATAAATGGGGATTTTTTGGGAAAAAATGGGATTTTTAGGGGGAAAATGGGGTTTTTAGGGGAAAAAATGGGATTTTGGGAGGGAAAAATGGGGATTTTGGGAAAAAAAAATGGGAATTTGGGGGAAAATGGGGATTTTGGGGGAAAAATTGGGGTTTTTAGGGGAAAAAATGGGATTTTGGGAGGGAAAAATGGGGGTTTTGGGAAAAAAATGGGATTTTTAGGGGAGAAAATGGGATTTTGGGTGGGAAAAATGGGATTTGGGGAAAAAACATAGGAATTTGGGGAAAAAATGGGGATTTTAGGTGAAAAAATGTGTTTTTTTGGGAATAAAATGGGACTTTTAGGGAAAAAAATGGGGTTTGGGGAGGGAAAAATGGGATTTTGGGGGAAAAGTGGGAATTTTAGGGGAAAAAACGGGGTTTTAGGGAAAAAAAAGGAATTTTTTTGGAAAGAAATGGGTTTTTTTGGGATATAAAATGGGAATTTTGGGGGTGAAATGATCGGCTCCGCCCTGGGGTCCCCCCAAAACCTGGGCTACGGCCCCGGCAGCAGCCCCCAGGTGAGAGAACAACAGGGATTTGGGGGGAAAAACGGGGATTTTGGGTGGAAAAATGGGAATTTTAGGGGAAAAAATGAAGGTTTTGGGAGGGAAAAATGGGATTTTTGGGAAAAAAAATGAGGATTTTGGGGGTTTGGGGGAAAAAAATGGGGATTTTGGGAAAAAAATGGGGATTTTGGGAAAAAAAATGGGGATTTTGGGAAAAAAATGGGGATTTTGGGAAAAAAATGGGGATTTTGGGGGAAAAAATGGGATTTTTAGGGGAAAAAATGGGGATTTTGGGGGGGAAAATGGGGATTTTGGGAAAAATGGGGATTTTGGGGGTTTGGGGGAAAAAAATGGGGATTTTGGGGAAAAAAAAAGGGATTTTTAGGGGAAAAAAATGGGGGTTTTGGGGGGAAAATTGGGATTTTGGGGGAAAAAATGGGGTTTTTTGAGAGAAAAATGGGGTTTTTTGGTAATAAAATGGGATTTTGGGGAAAAATTGGGGTTTTTAGGTGAAAGAAAGGGATTTTTAGGGGAAAAAATGGGGATTTTGAGGGAAAAAATGGGATTTTTAGGTGAAAAAATGGGATTTTGGGAGGGAAAAATGGGATTTTTTGGTAATAAAATGGGATTTTTTGAGAGAAAAATGGGGTTTTTTGGTAATAAAATGGGATTTTGGGTGGGAAAAATGGGATTTGGGGAAAAAACATGGGAATTTGGGGAAAAAATGGGGATTTTAGGGGAAAAATGGGATTTTTTGGTAATAAAATGGGATTTTTTGAGAGAAAAATGGGATTTTATGGGAGAAAAATGGGGTTTGGGGAGGGAAAAATGTGATTTTGTGAAAAAAGTGGGAATTTTAGGGGAAAAAATGTGGTTTTAGGGAAAAAAAAGGATTTTTTTTGTAAAGAAATGGGTTTTTTGGGGTATAAAATGGGAATTTTGGGGGTGAAATGATCGGCTCCGCCCTGGGGTCCCCCCAAAACCTGGGCTACGGCCCCGGCAGCAGCCCCCAGGTGAGAGAACAGCGGGAATTTGGGAGGAAAAACGGAGATTTTGGGTGGAAAAATGGGAATTTTAGGGGAAAAAATGAAGGTTTTGGGAGGGAAAAATGGGATTTTTTGATAATAAAATGGGATTTGGGGAGGGAGAAATAGGATTTTTTGGGTAAAAAATGGGATTTTGGGTGGGAAAAATGGGATTTTTGGGAAAAAAATGGGATTTTTAGGGGAAAAAAATGGGGTTTGGGGAGGGAAGAATGGGATTTTTAGGGGAAGAAATGGGATTTTGCGAGGGAAAACCATGGATTTTTGGGAAAAAAATGGGATTTTGGGAATAAAATGGGATTTTTAGGGGAAAAAAAGGGGTTTGGGGAGGGAAAAATGGGATTTGGGGAGAAAAGTGGGAATTTTGGGGGAAAAAATGGGATTTTTAGGTGAAAAAAAAGGGATTTTTAGGTGAAAAAATGGGGCTTTAAGGTAAAAAATGGGGATTTTGGGTGGAAAAAATGGGATTTTGGGGGAAAAAATGGCTTTTTTGGGGAAAAAATGGGGTTTTTAGGGAAAAAAATGGAATTTTTGGGAATAAAATGTGATTTTGGGGGAAAAAATGGGGTTTTTAGGGAAAATAATGGGGTTTGGGGAGGGAAAAATGGGATTTTGGGAGAAAAATGGGAATTTTGGGGAAAAAATGGGATTTTTAGGTGAAAAAATGGGGCTTTAAGGTAAAAAATGGGGTTTTTAGGGAAAATAATGGGATTTTGGGGGGGAGAAATGGGATTTTGGGAGAAAAGTGGGATTTTTGGGAAAAAAAATGGGATTTTTATGTGAAAAAATGGGGGTTTGGGGAGGGTAAAATGGGATTTTGGGGAAAAAATTGGGATTTTGGGGGAAAAGTGGGAATTTTGGGGAAAAAAAGGGATTTTTGGGGAAAAAATGAAATTTTTGGGAAACAAATGGGATTTTGGGTGAAAAAATGGGATTTTTGGGAAAAAATGGGGATTTTGGGGGAAAAAATGGAATTTTTGGGAAACAAATGGGATTTTGGGTGAAAAAATGGGATTTTTGGGAAAAAATGGGGATTTTTTGGGAATAAAATGGGGTTTTGGGGGGAAAAAATGGGATTTTGGGAGGGAAAAATGGGATTTTTGGGGGAAAAGTGGGAATTTTGGGGGGAAAAAAGGGATTTTTAGGTAAAAAATGGGGCTTTAAGGTAAAAAATGGGAGTTTGGGTGGGAAAAAATGGGATTTTGGGGGAAAAAGTGGGATTTTTATGTGAAAAAATGGGATTTTGGGGGAAAAAGTGGGATTTTTATGTGGAAAAATGGGATTTTGGGGGAAAAAACGGGGATTTTGTGTGAAAAGTGGGAATTTTGTGTGAAAAGTGGGAATTTTGGGGGGAAAAAAGGGATTTTTAGGTGTTTTTTTTCCCCGCAGATGAACTCGACGGTGCCGCTGGCGCTGGGGGGCGGCTCCGAGGACGTGAAGCCCCCGCTGGGAATTCGGGGTCCCCCCATTCCCAACAATCCCAACATTCCCAATAATCCCAACGTTCCCAACGTTCCCAATATTCCCAATATTCCCAATATTCCCACCAATCCCTGCGCCCCCCACGGCCCCGGGAAGCGCCTGTGCGCCATCTGCGGGGATCGCTCCTCCGGTGAGCGGCGGGAAAAGGGCGGGAAAAGGGCGGGAAAACGGCGGGGGAACGGCGGGGAAATGGCGGGAAACAGCGGGGAAACGGCGGGGAAATGGCGGGAAAACGATGGGGAAACGGTGGGGAAATGGCGGG